ACAGTCAGTACTTGTAACCAAGCCTAAGCCTGGCCACTACAACATCAGTCAGTCTGTTCACATTGCACGTTGCTCCATAAACATACTTATCTACGTTCATGTTATCATAGTGGGTTATAGATCAACTCAGGCTTCTAACTGCATTCCTATAACAATCATTTTCATTATTTACTTCTCTCCTAATATTATTCCTAATGCTAGACACAGTTATACCAAAGTTATATTCTACATTCTCCTTCTCGATACTCTTCTTGGCTAACATATCAACTTTATTATGAAGGAGTAATCCAATGTGTGATGGGATCCATAGCAATTGTACATTAATTCCTTTGTCCATAATTTTTGAGTATCTATACTTGGCTTCCCCAATGACTACCCCAGGCCCAAACTTGTGGAGCTTTCTGTTCATTAAGACCTGTAGAGAAACCCCTTCTGTGTGCCTTACATATTATGTGGAGAGGGAGGAACATATAGGTGAGTACAAATAGGAAATGGGTCTGTCTCACGCTCAGCAGACGGAGGATCAAGCCTCCACCATATCCTGTGCTGAATGACCTATATGGGTTTAGTGCTTAACATGAATCAAACAATCTATGGAGAGGGAGCCTAGATATGGGGGGTCATCCTTAATCCCAGTCACTAAAAATAATGGATATAGCCCCACTCAACAAAGGTGGCAGTAAAGCAGTTGCGAAGAATATGCATGTGTTAAATAGAAAAAGAAGAAAGCGTTTTTTTTTTTTTTTTTGAAGATTTGGTGTGCTGTTGGAGTGAGCAAGGTAATAGTAATAAAGGGATTCAAGGAAACTGGTTAGCCAAACTTTGAGTCCCGAAGGTGGGAAGTAGAGTGCCTGCAGCCTGAAGAAGCGAGGATGTTGCGGTTCAGAGGATCCTCTAAAATGTGATGTTTGTGTACTTCTGGCAAGACAGCTATTAAATGAATAATGGTGAATGTTTCCTTTGTTTTGGGTCACCTTACCTTTGGGTGAGATAGACAACGTGACAGAAGAAAAAAAGCAGAGGAAGACATACATAACGCATCTTTTTTTAACACAGTTGCCATCTTCCAAAATCAACCACCCAGAGATGTAGGGATATTTATGCAAAACCAGGAATATGAAGGTTAGGAGTGAGGGGTAGGATGTGCGAGGGTAGGGGCTGGTGGAGACGAAGACAAAAATACTTTTTATTTTTGTCCCCCACCTCCACTAGCCCCTACCCTCACGTTATCAAGAATAATACTTTATAATTTTAATATTCTTAGGTAGTAGGTTGGTAGACAGCAGCTGCTCAGGGAGGTACTGCCGTCCTGCCAAATGAGTGTAAAACTGAGGCCTGTAATTGTTTTACATGATGGTAGGATTGCTGGTGTCTTTTTTCTATCTCATAAACATGTAAGATTTCAGGTGTCGTAAGATTTCAGGTATGTCTTGCTACTACTTACATTTAGGGCACACTGCACTTGTATGTACAAGCATATATATACACACCCCTCTGGGTTGTCTTCTATTTTCTAACTAGTTCTTCTTATTTATTTCCTCTTATCTTCATGGGAAAGTGGAACAGAATTCTTCCTCCATAAGCCATGCGTGTTGTAAGAAGTGACCAAAATGCTGGGAGCAAGGGGCTAATAACCCCTGCTCCCATATACATTACAATATTTAAAAAGAGAAACTTTCGTTTTTCTTTTTTGGTCATCCTTCCTCGGTGGGATATGGCCAATTTGCTAAAGTAAGAATTTTAATACAGTGGTCCCTCGCTTTTCGTAGTTCTCGGCAATCGTAAATTGCCCATCATAGGGTATTTTCGTATAAAATGGACTCGTTTTCATGGGGTTGACTCGTGAGTGTTAGTTCGCCGGGAGGCATAACCCACGGCGTGAGCCGTGGCGGAAACCCGTCTGGATTGTTTACCAGTGAGCGAAGGTCCCCTCACGTGCGCCAGTGAAAATTTCATAATATTCATTTTATTTTAGTGTTTGCAAGTACTAAATAAGTACCATGGCCCAAGAAAGCTCCTTTGTGCTAAGCCTGTGGTAAAGAAGGTGAGAAATACGAATTGAATTTAGAAAACCATCATTAAAACATATGAAAGTGGTCAAGTGTGGCCAACGGGCCCGGATGTTGAGAAACCCTACAAACCTTTGTTAAATAGGGGCCCAAGAAAAAGGAAATCAAAGATGTGTTGTTGCAAAGGGAGTAACTATGCTGACAAAAATGGATCACCAGTACTGGAAGAGGTTGAGAAGTTATTATTGGTGTGGATTTAAAAGAGAAAAAATTAGCAGGAGATACTCTTATTTACTTCGATTATTTGTAAAAAAGGCTAGGCAGTTGATGAAGATTTGGTAAAGGATTGCCTGCAAATAGTGGTGATGTGAGTGAATTTAGGCCAGCAAAGGCTGGTTTGAGAGATTTAAGAACCGTACTGGATTACACAGTTGTGGTAAGGCTGGTGAGGCTGTCAGTTCGGACCAAAGGGAGCTGAAAAGTATGTGCATGAATTTCCCGGAGTACATTTGAGGCTGAAGGACTGAAACCCGAACAAGTGTTCAATTGTGACAAAAACAGGCCTCTTTTGGAAGAGAAATGCCAAGAGGACCTTCCTTACACAAGAGGAAAAGGCAAAGCCAGGGACATAAGCTATGAAAGACAGGCTGACGCTAATTTTTCTGTGCTAATGCTAGTGGGGATTTTAAAGTGAAGCCATTACTAGTGTACCATTCTGAAAATCCCAGAGTGTTCAGGAAAAACAATGTTATGAAGAGGTAAAATTTTGTGTGTTTTTGGAAATCTAATAGTAAGGCATGGGTCACGAGGGAAATTTTCGTCAAGAGGTTCAATGAAGTGTTGGCCTGTGTGAAGGAGTATCTCCTGGAAAAGAAATTGGATCTCAAGTACCTGCTAGTAATGGGACAGTGCACTTTTCATCCTCAAACTTGGATGACTAATTTTTGAGGAGTTTGGGTTCATCACAGTAAGTTCTTGCCCCCGAATATCACTCCTCTCCTCCAGCCCATGGACCAGCAGGTCATGCAAACTTTAAAAAACTCTACACAAAAGCAGTGTTTCACAGGTGCTTGACTGTGACCCCAGACACTCACTTGACCCCAAGGGAATTTTGGAGAGAACACTTCAGCATCCTCCATTGCCATAAACCTTAAAAGGTATGGCTTGGGAGGGAGTGACTACAGGTCTTTGACTCTGCCTGGAGAAAATTGTGGCCAGATTGTGTCGACAAAAGGGATTTTGAAGGATTTGGGACTGACCCTAATGAGCCTATGTCTGTTGTAAAATCAATTGTGGCACTGGTGAGTTCCATGGGGTTGGATGTGAGTTCGGAGGATGTGGAAGAATTGGTGGAAGACCACAACGAAGAGCTCACCACTGAGGAGCTGCAAGAGCTTCAGCAGGAAGAGCAACACATCGCAGCTCAGAATCTTGCTGCAGAGGAGGAGGAAGAGAGATGGAAGAAGGTGCCTTCTTCAGAAATTAAGAGATTTTTACTATGTGGGGTAAGATGGAAAGCTTTATGGAGAAACATCACCCTGACAAGGTTGTTGCAAGCCATATTGGCAACATGTACAGTGACAAAGTCTTGGGCCATTTTAGGGAAGTGTTAAAGAGACGCCAGAAACAGAGCTCTCTCCACAGTTATTTTGCGAGACAGGACTCCATTGACTCTCAAGGTGGTCCTAGTGGCATTAAGAAACAGAGAAGACAAGCAACCCCAGAAAAGCAATTGGTACCTGAGGTGTTGATGGAAGGGGATTCCCCTTCCAAACTATAAACAATCCACTCTCTCTCCTCCTCCAGTCTTCCATACACTAAGAAGAATCTCCAATAAAGGTAAGTGTTATGCTGTTAATGTTTCATTCATCATTTCCCATTGTGTTGTTTATGTACTACATGTATATTTCATGTAAAAAAATTTTTTGTTTTAATACTTCTGGGTGTCAGGAACGGATTAATTGTATTTACATTATTTCTTATGGGGAAAATTGATTCGTAAATCGTAAATTTCGTTTATAGTAACGGCTCCAGGAACGGATTAATTACGAAAAACGAGGGACCACTGTATTTGAATTGTAGCATATAATTATGGATGAGTAGGAAGACTTGGATCAACTGTCAGTTTGCTATCATGCTGGTAGATGAAATATGATGTACTGGCAATACAATATAGCTTTCCCTTTCTTAAGTCAGTTTGGCCTTCCAAAAATTCAGTATTATGTGATGTTCCATTTCCATCTGTTGTCATGATTGTGACCAGATATACCTGGAATTCATTACCTTTGTAACTTGCTCAGAGGTACATAATGGGTTCAGTCCCTGGACCCATTATGTACCTCTGTACTCTTTTGACTACTGCCCACAGGATGGGTATGAGGTGCATAACAAACATATTAAACTAACATTTGTAATTTTGTATGTGCAATATACATAGATTATAACAGAGGAGTGAGGTTCACAAAATATACTGAAGAATCTTATATAGAATTTAAGTGTTGAAGCCTGAGTGAGCTAACAGTGTAGACCTCACATCTGCTGTATAGCCAGAGACATCTAATTAAGCAAACATGAATTTAAGCCAAATTCCATTCATTATCATACAAGCACAAATCTTATTAACACAACCCAACACCAGAATAAAATCAAAGTAATCATACTAAATAGAATATTAAAGCTTTCAGTAAGTAATAAAATATCAATTATAAAATACAATATATACATAATACAGCGAAATATCATACCAAGTCTAGTTATAAAATATTCCACAAAATAATATTTATCATAAAATATATTTCTTGAATTTCTAGCAGAATAAGATTAAACTACTTATCTGCAGTCCAAAGCCTGTATATTATATATTATTATTATATTCTTATTTTTCAAAAACTCCATATCATATGTGGTGGCCCAAGATAGAAGTTTCTCTTTTAATGTAGGAATTAAGGAGAAGGTTATACCATTCTCCTGCATTTTAGTCGCCTAGACACGCATGGCTTACGGAAGAAGAATTCTGTTCCACTTCCCCATGGAGGATTATTATTATTATTATTATTATTACTATGGAATACACTAATGAAAGACATATAAAAATGTTCTGAAACAGATTATATGAACTAATTTAACAATAGCTTTCTGTACTAACTTACAGGGAATGGTTCTTCTTACTTTAATTTATCATCATTAAAAGCTACTGGAAAATTATGAAGAAAATGTCACATTTTATAGCTGTTGGGTAACCACATCAAAACATTTTTATTGCAAATAGAGCTATGCTTTATTTTTAATTTCAATTTTAATTTGGTGCCCTAATTGAGATTCATGTAATGAACAATATTTCTACAGCTCATTCCTTAATATCAACATAAAAATATATCTCTAACAACATGTCCAACAGTAACCAAGAAAATATGTAAATACAGTATGTACATTCCTATTAATATTTTAGCGCATTATTAATTTATAATTCAAGCAGTAGAATAAGTCACAGTACCATACGTGAACCATACGTAAGTTACCCGTGCTTTGTACGGGAAACTTTAGATAACGCTTTGATTCATACTGGTCCATTATAAAGTAACAATCTAAGATATGATAATGGTCCAAAAAGACCTAAAGTTTGCTTAAAGGTTCCTCTCTAAAGCATGAGTTATTTGTGTTTAGTTCAAGTGCAAATAATGTAAATACAAAGAAAGTTAAACTTGACGCAAAAAAAAAAAAAAAAAAACGCCCTTCATTACTATAAGCAGTATGACTCTGCTTTCTCCAGAATTGAAAAGGAAATAGAAAACATGCCAACACGTGCGTTACCGAGGCCTGATCCACGGGACTCTATACTTATAAAGATGTGCAAAATCCCACTAGTGAGAACACTGTATCATTTGGAGAACAGTCTTTGATCTATGTAAAATCCCAAAAGGATTTAAAAAGAGCATATATAATTCCCCTATATTTTATATTATATTTTATATTATTTTCATATAGTCGGACTTGAGTCCTGGAAATGGGAAGTACAATGCCTGCACTTTAAAGGAGTGGTTTGGGATATTGGCAGTTTGGAGGATATGTTGTGTATCTTTATATGTGTATGCTTCTAAACTGTTGTATTCTGAGCACCTCTGCAAAAACAGTGATAATGTGCGAGTATGGTGAAAGTGTTGAATGATGATGAAAGTATTTTCTTTTTGGGGATTTTCTTTCTTTTTTGGGTCACCCTGCCTCGGTGGGAGACGGACCGACTTGTTGAAAAAAAAAAAAATAAAATAAAATAAAATAAAGGAAGCAGTAGAGTTTTGGCAAAAAAAATTACAGTCCAGTAGCACCAACACCACATCATGAAAAATCTTTGAAAGGATAATGAAATGAATACTTTACAAATTTTATAGAAAATAATAACTTGCACGACCCAAATCAACATGAATTTAGAGTAGACGATACTTGTCATAATTACTAAACCATTATAACAAAATTATAGAAGTTTAACAAGAAAGCCAAAATGCGGTCATGGATAGCCAAGGTAACAGATATTTAAGAAAAATTAGAAAAATGGATATTCAGTTTTCAAAAATACACAATGAGTAGTATTAGTACACAAGCAAAATCCAGCCTTGGCAAAAGTTGGTACCACAAGGCACAGTTCTAACACCTTCACTGTTTCTCATCATCGTAGCACAGGTAAAAACACTAGCCATAGCTTCATATCATCCTTTGAAAGTAGTAACAAAATAAGCATGAAAGCTGATTTGGCAGAAGACAAAGATATGAAAGCAGATGTAAACAGTGTCTTCCAATGGGCAATAGATAACAACATATTAATAGTATACAATACTGACAAGTTAATGAATTAGAAACGTGTTTAACTCACCAACTTGTCAGTATTGTATATTATTAATATATATGTACACAGCAACATGGAATCTTGGTAAAGAGAAATCTCTTCAACCTACTTAATCTCTGGCCCAAACTCATGGGCATGACCTACTTCCACTGGTGGGTCCTGCCTAACAATACCTTCATCTGCTGCACCTCATCTGACTCCAGTATATAAGTACTCATCTTCCTGCCTGTGCTTCAGATTCATTAACACTGCAGTGTTCAACACCATTCCTAGGTTGAGGGACTGATTCACTTATCTTCTACTTTCTTCTGCATTTAATTCTGCGAGGCTAAGGGATTGATTACCTCCTCTTCTACAGGCTTCCATTTATGTCTCAATATTGTATTGATAAAGACACTGGATGGCAAAACATCTACAAAATAAAGATACCCAGATGCTGCAGGCATGTCTAATTCTGTGGAAAATAACATGATAGTCAATGAAGACAAATTTCTAACTGCTCAGATATTGAAAGAATGAAGAACTCAAAAGGTGCACTGGATACAAAACACAGGACATTTCTCATATAATAAAAGTAACATGTAAAAGACTGGAGTATCATAATGTCAGATGCCCTATCATTCAGATAACATATTAACACTTCCACTAGCTGTCACGTAGAGCTGTTAATGACACCAGGATCCCTCATGAAGATCTACGTCATGAGTTCAACTCATTCGGATAAACCATGAGCGTTAAATTTTGGTCTAGATATGAGAATGGGTCTGTGTAGTGAGTGTGCACTGTATAAAAGAAATCCTGCCCCATGCAGTGCATGATGGGAAAAGAAAAACTCGGACCTTGATTTCGGTTTAAAATAGCAACTTGGAGGTGCTTTCTAGGAAAGTTTTTATGGTTTTATTGATATCATTTGATAGAATGGAAGACTGACTACTGAAATAAAGATGATTTTGGTTCGTTGCTGGAGTGGAAGTAGCCTGAAATCAGCCTCAAACTAGCAGAAATATTTGATTTTTGCTGATCTGCTTTATGGGTTTTTACTAGGTGTGATTCAATTACTGAGGTGATGTAAACCATGATAAATCATTCCTTTGATACCTTTGATATACCAAACAAGACTGGTTGACCAGGATTGTCTGGTGCTTGCCTGATCAACTAGGCTGTTGCTGCTGGAGGCCGCTGACCCACATATCCATCACAGCCTGGTTGATCCTGATAATATTTTTTTATCCAAGAAATAGGGAAATGTTCCTAATATTTTTTTATCCAAGAAATAGGGAAATGTTCCTAATATTTTTTTATCCAAGAAATAGGGAAATGTTTTGATTTTCTGATAAGTGTAATATAAGAGAGGCTAGGGAACATGATGATTGTGCACAGAAAATGTTGGTTTAGTATCTGGAATACCTACAGCGTTGAAAGTTAAGACACATGTGCAACATCTGGAAATCTTTATTGTAGACGTTTCGCCATCCAGTGGCTTTATCAATACAGATTCTAGGACATAATAAGAAGGAGGGGTGTTAATGTTGCAGTTTAAAAACTGTAGTGTAAAGCACCCTTCTGGCAAGACAGTGATGGAGTGAATGATGGTGAAAGTTTTTCTTTTTCGGGCCACCCTGCCTTGGTGGGAATCGGCCAGTGTGATAATAAATAAAATAATATATTATACTATATATATTATGTCCTAGAATCTGTATTGATAAAGCCACTGGATGGCGAAACGTCTACAATAAAGATATCCAGATGTTGCACATGTGTCTTAACTTTCATATTGTCGGTATTTTATACCTTTCTTGCACAACCTACAGCGTTCATTTTGGAATCTGTTTTTAATTGGATTTTTTTTTTATTTCCATACAGTGCCTCCAACATGCAACAAAATGGGCATTTATAACAGTTACAAACTAGTTAAAGCATAGGAAACGCTTCTTACAAAATAATAACATCGGAAAACTATCAGATTTAATTATCTGCTAAATTTGTGTCTCAACTGCTTAAAATCTAAAAAATTTAAATCCTATTACCATACTTCTGCAAAATACAGAATGAATAATATATATAAATATATAATTAATTGCAATGACACACAAACCGGTATGAGAAACATGCACTTTGGTAAACAGCATTTTTAGGCACATATTAATCAGTCTTGACATTCTCAATAAACTCACAGCCCGAGTCCATGGAGTCACTAGAGGTATGAGATGCTTGGTCAGAAGAGTCAGTGGTGGGGATGCTGCTGGCTTCTTGCACTTGCTTCTCCAGGGGACCCACAACATAAACGTCTATTTTATTATTCCTTACATCGTTGCCCACACACTCCTCCAGTAGGCTGGCCAAATTGAAATGCATAATATACATTAATACTCGTAAACTACTACACTTAATATCTTAAATTACAGAATATTCCACCCTGTGTTATTATGAAGTTCATGGGGAGTGGTAAACCCATATGAGTCATACAGCACCTGGGAACAGAAGGCAATCAGATTTAATTCATAAAAGGGGACAATAATTCAAAATTCTTGAATGAAGATCTCTTCACCAGAAACAAAGCACTATCTCTGAAAGGTCCAACTACAGTAATAGTGTAAGATCTTGTATCATCTGTAGGAAGTAAGCGGTAGGTCGGCCTATTGGGAAAGTTGGGGGAGGTAAAGGAGTTTTTGTGTGCAGGGCTTGGATCTTTCCCATGCTGGTGACGTTTGATAGCTTTGAATGGATGAAAGGAATTTAATTACTAGAAGTGCGTGTGGAGTGTAGAAAAAAGTAACATTATGAAGGCATAAGGAAAACCGCAGTGCCGACTTGAGTCTGGAGTATGGAAGCAACAGTGCCCCTCTAAGGAGGGTGTCTAATGTTGTTAAAAAACTGTAGTTTAACACCTTGGTCAAGATGTGGAGGTGAATTGATGGTTGAACAGTTTTTCATTTTCGGGCACCTGCTTGGTGGAATCGGTCCATGATTAATAAAAAAAAATAAAATATTTAAGATTAAACAACTCTACCTTTGAAGGTAAATGGTCACATAAATTTTAGCATTGTTTTCTAAGCTCTGGGTAATTTCTACTCCTGATGCCATGCATTTCCTCTAACAGCCTCATAATTTAGGAGGAAATAATATACGAAAGAAGGCTGAAAAAAAAAACACATTCTGTTAAGCACATAAAATATTAAAATGAAATTTGTCATTTTTTCTAGTTGGGCCGCACATAGCATACCCAGGGTGTAACATTTGCAAGAAGATGAAAATGAAAGCCTGTAATTGTTTTACATATGTAGGTTCTGGTCCTTTTTGCTCATCAAACATGCAAGATTTTAGTACCTCGTTTCTTCTACTTACTTACTTACTACTCTTGTTATAATTTTCCACCTCTCTTGGATTGCTCAATTCTTCTCTTTAGCTTTCTGTTTAATAGCCCTTATCATCCATGGGAGAAGTGGAACAGATTCCCCTTCCGTAACTATGCGTAGTGTAAGAGACACTAAAATGCCGGGAGCAATGGCTGAACCCCTCTCCTGTGATATTCAAAGAAGGAACGTGTGTTTTACTTTGGACCGCCTCCGCCTCGTAGGATACGGCCGGTGTGTTGAAAGAAAGAAACTGCTGCTGCAAAAAAAAAAAAAAAAATACTGGTAAGCACATAAAATATTTTATGATATATCTGCCATTTTTCTAGGTAGTAGGATGGTAGACAACAACCACCCAGGGAGGTACTACCGTCCTGCCAAGTGAATGTAAAACCAAAGCCTGTAATTGTTTTACATAATGGTAGGATTGCTGGTGTCTTTTTTTCCGTCTCATAAACAAGCAAGATTTCAGGTATGTCTTGCTACTTCTACTTACACTTATGTCACACTACAAATGCATGTACAAGCATATATATACACACTTTCTGGGTTTTCTTCTATTTTCGGACTAGTTCTTGTTCTTGTTTATTTCCTCTTATCTCCATGGGGAAGTGGAACAAAATTCTTCCTCCATAAGCCATGCGTGTTGTAAGAGGCGACTAAAATGCCAGGAGCAAGAGGCTAGTAATCCCTTCTCTTGTATACATTACTGAAGTTAAAAAGAGAAACTTTTGCTTTTCTTTTTGGGTCACCCTGCCTCGGTGGGATACGGCTGGTTTGTTGAAAGAAATAACTTTAAAACACTTGAAATTTTGGAAAGTTTCAAGACATAATGGAGTTGTGCTCACAGAGACTGCAAACAAACTGGGTGGGGTGCTGTGACCGTATTAGAAAGTCAGGTGGGGCAGCTGTATTTTGAGTTTTGATCATAATCTGAAATATCCGTATTAGCAGAACACCGTAAGGGAAAACGCCTTAAAGTGGAGCCCTACTGTATACAAGATACTTTGGAACCCATTTAAACTCTACAACTGCTGAGTTATAGTGCAAATATATTGTTTTTTATATAAACAACTCACTTTACAAATAGAAAGTCAGATACACAACTCATTTACAAAAGAAAATAGGAATGCAATTAATTTGTAAACAGAAGAAAGAGGAATGTAATTCATCTCTCAGTTGAAAACTTTGAACTTAACTTGTTTATATGTTGAAAAGACCAGAACTTTAACTTGTTTATAACTTGGAATTTTCTGAATTAAAAGTACAATGAAGAATTTGAGGAATACAGAAACCATAAGGTGAAGTGATAATATATAATAAAAAAAAATGATTATGAAAACAATATTTAAAAAAAGAAAATTGAGGGGAACAAATAAGACATAAGAAGTTGACTTGTAATTCAAGAGGTCTTTAGCATATCATTCAATAAGTTTTAGACATAACATTCAAGAAGTCCCTTAGCTCGGTTGGTAGTGCACTCAGCTCACAATCTGAGTGTCCGTGGTTTGATCCCTGGTACAAGTGGTAACACTGGCTGTGTTTCCTTACACCTGTTCACGAAGCACCATGTAGGTACCTGGGTGTTAGCCAACTGGTGTGGGTGGCATCCTGGGAAGTGGTAGTATACCTCTGATATGACTGGAGCTTTGAAATGACTTGAGGTTGAACAACAGCTCTTAGCCTGTAAAATTTGTGTAAAAAAAAAGTCTTAAATACACCATTCAAGTCATGTTTGACTTACTATTCCAGAAGCGCCTGTTTAGGGATGTTGTTGAGCCTGGAGGTGTCAGCAGCAACCGGCCACACCACCACAACACCACACTCTTTGTTCTCCTTAATATTAGTAGCTGACAGTGACACCTGAAACACATTCACCCAGCGAGTAAATACAAAAGGAACCCATATATTAAAATTATTTGCACATTGTTAATTTATGTTTACAAAAAAGTTAAACTCCTATGGCCCACCATACAGCTTTTTTTTTTTTTTTGAAAAATATAAGCAATTATTATTACTTGCATTATTATATTCTCTGGGAAACTTTAAACAAAAACAGTTGATCAAATGAAATTGACGACCCACAAATGGCTCTAACTTCATTATGTTCCATATTTGTATGTTTGTTTCAACACACTGGCCGCATCCCACCGAGGCGGGGTGGCCCAAAAAGAAAAACATTTAGTAATATATACAGGAGAAGGGGTTACTAGCCCCTTGCTCCCGGCATTTTAGTCGCCTCTTACGACACTCATGGCTTACGGAGGAAGAACTCTGTTCCACTTCCCCATGGAGTTGTATGTTTCATAACAATAAAAAAACATTCAAATGAGATGAGTAGGTAACAGCTCTTAACTTATAAATAAAGTTAAAAATCCTTACCATAACCTTGTAAAACCCTGTGTAAAAAAAAAATAGTGTTGGGGGAATAGGACAAGGATAGGGGGGAAGGAATAATCAGATTTGTTGAATAGAAGAGGAAGGGAGGATTTATCTATTTCCTTGGATCAAGAGGCCTTCACCAGCATCAAAACATTTGTTTCTTCTTGAAAAGGTAACTGTAACCAGACAAAATTATAGTGGCCTGGGAATATTTAAAGTTGATGATTCTATTAATGAAGAAGCACCAAACCTGTAGGGGTCATAAAGTACCTGAAGAATAGTAGGTAATCAGGTTTAATCAGAGTAAGGGAAGGTAGCTATAATTCCTTGGATCAAGAGCCCCTCAATAGCATCAAACAATCTCTCCTGAAAGGTTGAAGCTGATGGGAGTGATAAGAGGAATTTTAAATGAAAGAAATATCTAAGATAATAAACTACAAAACTCAAGTCTACCTTTGCCTCTTGTTCCATCTGTATACCAATGGTGCAGTCAACAACAATACAGGAAGACACCGAGGCCTTTGCTCCTTCTCGGAAATCCATTCCAATGGCGCTACTCCCTCTGACTGTCACTTGGTTAACTTGTAATTCTGTTTTACCAAGACCAACAAATCCACCAGTACCACCTGTTAACGTACAAACTAGATTAATATTTTATATATGAGAGTACATATTGTAAACAAGGGGCTAGTAACCTCTTCTCCTGTATATAGTACAGTGGACCCCCGGTTAACGATATTTTTTCACTCCATAAGTATGTTCAGGTGCCAGTACTGACCGAATTTATTCCCATAAGGAATATTGTGAAGTAGATTAGTCCATTTCAGACCCCCAAACATACACGTACAAACGCACTTACATAAATACACTTACATAATTGGTCGCATTCGGAGGTAATCGTTATGCGGGGGTCCACTGTATTACTAAATGTAAAAGGAGAAACTTTCGTTTTTCCTTTTGGGCCACCCCGCCTCGGTGGGATACGGCCAGTGTGTTGAAAGAAAGAAGAAAGAACATATTGTAAATTATACTACAGGTACCATCCGACTTACGACCAAGTTCGGTTCCGACAAACCAGTCGTAAGTCGAAATGGACGTAAGTCGAACCTTACTACTGAATATCAACATCACATTTTTGTAATGACTTTATTTTGTTTTATTTTGGTACTTCATTTTTTACTTTACTTTTTATGTTGTTATTACTGTATTTTATACTATAAGGTTTAGGATAAACACTGTGTACAACACAAATAGTTATTTATTTCCCAGAAATTTGGCACAGAAAAACACGGTTGTAAGTCGAATGGCCATATGTCGAGCAGGTCGTAAGTCAGATGGTAGGTGTATTATTGTAACAATGTCTATTTTTTACACGAAAATCCACATAATTATATACAACATCCCTTCATGGTCCTAGGTAGTAGGTTGGTAGACAGCAACCGCCCAGGGAGGTACCACCATCCTGCCGAGTCAGTGTAAAATGGGAACCTGTAATTGTTTTACATGATGGTAGGATTGCTGGTGTCCTTTTTTCTGTCTCATAAACATGCAAGATTTCAGGTATGTCTTGCTACTTCTACTTACACTTAGATCACACTACACATACATGTACAAGCATATATATACACACCCCTCTGGGTTTTCTGCTATTTTCTTTCTAGTTCTTGTTCTTGTTCTTGTTTATTTCCTCTTGTCTCCATGGAGAAGTGGAACAGAATTCTTCCTCCGTAAGTCATGCGTGTTGTAAGAGGCGACTAAAATGCCGGGAGCAAGGGGCTAGTAACCCCTTCTCCTGTATAAATTACTAAATTTAAAAAGAGAAACATTTGTTTTTCTTTTCGGGCCACCCTGCCCTGGTGGGATACAGCCGGTTTGTTGAAAGAAGAAAAGAATCCCTTCATGGTGGCTGTCTTATGGTGAATGACTTTTGAGCCAAGGAGGTGAAGCTATTCCCTCCCCCTCCTTGGATCAAACTATTTCCTCCCATTCCCCAGTTAATGCATGACCTTCATACTTCCAGCTGCTCCTATGACCCTTACACAGTATATCCTTCATTTAACAGACCTAAAAATAATATACTAATGTTGCTGAATAGAGGGAGGGGGTAACAGAGGCTTTGTGTGCGAGGAGCTTGGACAGGCATGTGTCAGCATGTTAAATAGGAGTGAATGGAGATGAATGGTTTTTGGGACCTGACGAGCTGTTGTAGTGTGAGCAGGGTAATATTTTGTGAAGGGATGCAGGGAAACCAGTTAGCTGGACTTGAGTCCTGCAGGTGGGAAGTATACAATACCTGCACTTTAAAGGAGAGGTTTGGGATTGGCTGTTTGGAGTGACACCTAAATGTCATATCTGAGCCCCTCTGTAAAGACAATGAATGATGGTGAAAATGTTTTAATAATGATGAAGGTTTTTTCTTTCTTTTGGGTCACACTGCCTCGGTAGGAAACGGCCAACATGTTAAAAAAAAAAGTGTACAAATATTATTTAAACTAGAAATAAAAGTAATTAACACACTTGCATTTATTTATTCAACTGTACAAGTGTTTTAAGCTATGTGAATTAATATTAATACCTCTGTTTAGACACACAAGTAATAACTTGTGTAGTAAAGTACACCAATTACACTAAATCTTGTATTTCAGAAGCCATATTTTTTAAACCCTTTCGGGGTGGGTTCCGCTGTTCTACTGCCCTGAAACATGAGTCAGTCCTGTTGTTCTATGTCATGAACTTAGCTCACTCAGACAAGCTGTGAGTGGTAAATTTAGGCCTAGATATGAGAGAATGGGTCTATGTGATAAGTGTGCACCATATAAAAAAATCCTGCAGTACGCAGTACATAATGGCAAGACAACGGCAACTCTATTTTTTATTTAAAACAGGGATTTTGCGGTGTTTTTCATATGGTTTTAAAAGTTGTATTCTCGGTTTCTTAGTCTCATTTGATAGAGAAGATGTATTACAGAAATAGACATGATTTTGATTGGTTTCAGAAATGAAAGTGATTTGAAATTGAACTGAAAATAGCAGAAATGTTTGGTTTTTGCCGATATTCCAGAGTACACATATTACATCACTCGTCCAATACACGTCCAACTGGTGAGTCTAATATGAATTCAGAAATGTGCTGACATTATTTATACAATTATTACAATAATGTAGTATTCTGCATAACAGCAAATCTTCTGTTATTTGGATGAATAAAATTTCAAAATGGAAAGCAATCGTAATATAGGAGAGACCCAAGGACGTAGCTAACAAACAGAGGAAATGTTGTTTTGATACCAGGAATCTCTACATTATTTATTCTGGAGCCTATTTTGAAACTGGCAGTTTTTAATAGTGTGTGAAACTGGCCAAATTACCAATTTCTGATCACTTTATTGGGTAGCTGAAATATATAAATGGACAGTTTCTTGTACTCAATCGACAGAAGGAATACTAGTGAAATAGCTAACAGTCTGGTCAACTGGAAAACAAGGCTCAAAGTGGGCAAAACTGCTGATGCATAAATATTGCCGAGACTGCTAACTTTGTGAGAGCGTAATTCCCTAAGTTTGCCATCAAATTTCGTACTTTTAATTTCATTACCTTGGGAAAAAATTCCCTATCATTTCATAAGAATTTTTCTTTTTAAATTCTCCAACCCTGAGAGCCGGTTTCGTATCAGGGGTTTCTGGCCCTGGAAGGGTTAAATATGACCTTACTTGGGTTATTATTACTGAGAAAGAATGAAATAAGCCACTTTGTCCAACTTTTTTTTGGGTTATGTTAGGTAATTTATACATGATACTATGTATGGCAATTGTACTTATGTGTTCCAGTACCTAAATAAACTTATTTAATGTCCACATAGAAGAGGGATTCAGGTACATAATAATAATAATAACAATAAATAAATATTGCAGAGAACTTGGAGGCTCATCAGTACGAGAACATGAAATAAGATCTTGTAAATTTAGGGGTTAGATTGTGAAGTACCTGTATCAAACCTGATTGTCTCCCATTCCCAAGGTGAAATATGAATCCCATGAGTTAAGTGCTTGATGAATTATGAACCTACAGGTTTAGCACTTCCCCATGAAAATAATAATAATCTACCTCATTAAGTGTTACCACAATATTTCCCTGGATAAATGGAACTTTACCTTCAATAGTGACATCGTGCAGAGTGAGGATACCATCATGGTGTACAATACCCACTTGCCCTCGGGAAGGTTGTAGAGTTATATTCTTCATGGTAAAATTGCCAGAGGTATCCATCAAGATATCACCGGCTTCTTCACCCCCTTTAATGTTCACTCCCTTACCAAGACCTGAAAATATTAACGTTTCAATAAATAGCAATTTGACATGGAAATATTAGTGTCCTGCCCACTTTCCTTACCCCAAGTCCCATTTTTATGTTGCTAGTGAAGCAAGAACTTGAGTCTATGCTTAACTTTCCTGGATCGAACTGTATTACCCCTACACCTCTCATTCACCTGGAACTGTATGAAGATCCCCTTCATTCAATCAACGAGCAAGTTACATTCCTGAAAATCAGTGTCTAATCTCAGTTTGTGCGAACTGATGTTAAGAATATGTGAAAAAATAAGTTAGCAGCATTTGAAGAGTGTGGTGAGAGTTAATGTGTCCCACGAGCTTAGATGGATGTACTGAGGTTTATGATGACTCGCTGGCAGCATCAGCTGCCCTCTTCTTCATGTTGAAAGTTCATAGGACCACCTGCAGCTTACACAGTATTAAAAGGCATGTAATAACATGTTTATTTTTCCAGTATAATCTACCTTACCCATAATTACTATCGCATTTGCTTTGTCTGTTTTGTAAGGTGAAGTCTAGGATCTCTATTTAATTTGTGGTATAACTTAACAAATCTCTGAAGACAATTGTGTTGGAGAGGTCTGAGCAAAGCTCAGACCTCTCCAACACAACTGTTAAGTTATACCATGAATTAAAGAAAGATCCTAGACTTCACCCCTTCAAAACAGACAAAGCAAATGCGACAGTAATTATGGACAAAGTAGATTAATGGAAAAGGAAACATATTATAAGAAGACAGGGGTACTTATGTACTCCTTAAGTAATCATGTAAACATTGGTAAACATAAAAGCCACATTTCCTTACCTAAATAAAAATCTTAAGACTCCTATTACAGTTGGTGCTATATACAGGATGCCTCATACTAATATCCTAACTTTTAAACAAAAAACAATTAATAACAAACAAATGAACAAGCACACCTAATATAAGCCAGAGATTTCATCATTAACCTTGGCCTAGCAGATGATCAACTGGTAATAGATTTCATTAACAGTATGAACAATACACTACTCGTACCAGCTATAACTAAACCAACAAGGCTGAGATGAATACAAACATAAATGACCATAAATGGACAAATATACTAGCTCACCTCAAGTCAGGGATAATGACAGACAACACTGAAGGCATGTTTATTAAAAACCCTTTTGCTAGCTTAACCCTTTCGGGGTTTCGGCCGTACTAGTTCGGCTTACAAGCAGGGGTTTTTGACGTACTGTACTAGTACGCATAAATTCCAGCGCCGTCAAATCTAGTGAGAGAAAGCTGGTAGGCCTACATATGAAAGAATGGGTCTATGTGGTCAGTGTGCGAAGTATAAAAAATATCCTGCAGCACACATTGCGTAATGAGAAAAAAAAACTTTGACCGTGTTTTTGGATTAAAACAGCGACTTTGCACTGTATTTTCGTATAGTATTTATTGTTGTATTCTAGTTTTCCTGGTCTCATTTTATAGAATAGAAGACATATTACAGAAATTGAGATGATTTTGACTGATTTTACAACGAAAAGTACCTTGAAATCGAGCTCAAAGTAGCAGAAATGTTCGATTTTTACCAAAGATCAAAAGTAAACAAATCATGCCAAGCGTCCAATACACGTCAACTGGTGAGTCTAATATTCTTTCGCAAGTGTGCCGATATTATTTATACCATTTTTTACACTAATGCAGTAGTCTGCATAACAGTAAATCTTCTATTTTTTTGTGAGAATAAAAATTCAAAGTGGAAAGTAAAACAATGTAAGAGGGGCGTAGGAACGTGACTAATGACCAGAGGAAATGTTATTTTAGTGCCGGGAATGTCTCTCTTGTTTATTCTGGACTCTATTCGGAAATTGGCAACTTTTGAAATTTGTGTGAAATTGGCAAAATTGCTAAATTCTGACCACTGTATTGGATAGTTGAAATCGGTAAATGGGTGGTTTCTTCTAGTCATTCGATAGAAAAATGGAGTTCTAGCAAAATAGTTATGATTTTTGTCGACTAGTACAATGGAATTGGCCGAAAATAGGGCTCAAAGTGGGCAAAATCGCCGATGCGTAAACATCATCGAGACCGCTAACTTCGCGAGAGCATATTTCTGTAAGTTTTCCATCAAATTTCATACTTTTGGTGTCATTATGATCGGGAAAAGATTCTCTATCTTTTCATAAGAAAAAATATTTTTTTTTTTTGAAATTTGGCCAACCCTGAGAACAAGTCTCTGAGAGGACCTGCCGACCCCCAAAGGGTTAAGCACCATATAAAATAGCAATTGAAAATATCTCGTTAAATTAGGATTCTTGTTTTTTAATTGGCAAATAAAACTAAATAATATTTATGGTGCGCTTACCTATAAGTGTTCCGCCAACACTTATTAATCCTAAGTGGATGAGAGAATGATTGCCAGGCAACACAACCACCACATCTCCCTGCACAGCCATATCTAGTGCCAGCTGCAGAGTGGGAAATGTTTGACAGGCAGCATCCTCTGGCACCTAAGAGTGTTACATAGAGAAACAACAAGATTTCAATTTACACTTTAATGCTATTATTTTACCAAACTCCCACCAAAGTAGGGCAACCCAAAAAAAGTAAACATTCATCGTCATTCATTCAGTAGCTGTCTTGCCAAAAGTGCTTGCGTCAATCTGAAATTCAGATTCACATTCTTTAGTTATAAGTAAAAGACACAAGGTATTTATCAAAATTTTTTTCAATCTTTTCCCTATGCAAAACATTTCACAAATAAACCCGCACATAGGAGAGGGCTTACGACAAAGTTTTGGCCGACTTGGTCATTTAAGTCCGGTATTTTACCTTTTTTGTTTTTTTATACAAAATATACTTTTACCAATTAAGAATAAAATGTAAATTTACCCCATTTAAGCAAATTTTTTATGATATTAAGACAATCCATAGCTGGAAAACTTAACTATTGATCCACAGGGTCCCTATAGGAAACTTTTGCTTAAGGTTTGATTCTTCCTGGAACATTATCAATTTACCACAAGTCAAAACATAATAGTTTCTGATGAACCAAAATACTATCTACAGTTCCATCTCTAAATTGTGGGTGTATTAAGTTTTTTTTAAGAAGCACCAAAAAAGTGAGTGGTAGATTTAAGTTTACACATCAATGACAACTCTGCCTTAACTACTATAGTATTATTCTTTCTTTCAACACACTGGGCGTATCCCACCAAGGAAGGAAAGCCCAAAAAGAAAAACAAAAGTTTCTCTTTTTAAATTTAGTAATAGGTAGGTTATTGAAAGCAGTGAAGAGTTTTTACGAGGATAGTGAGGCTCAAGTTAGAGTATGTAGGAAAGAGGGAAATTTTTTCCCAGTAAAAGTAGGCCTTAGACAAGGATGTGTGATGTCACCGTGGTTGTTTAATATATTTATAGATGGGGTTGTAAGAGAAGTAAATGCGAGGGTCTTGGCAAGAGGCGTGGAGTTAAAAGATAAAGAATCACACACAAAGTGGGAGTTGTCACAGCTGCTCTTTGCCGATGACACTGTGCTCTTGGGAGATTCTGAAGAGAAGTTGCAGAGATTGGTGGATGAATTTGGTAGGGTGTGCAAAAGAAGAAAATTAAAGGTGAATACAGGAAAGAGTAAGGTTATGAGGATAACAAAAAGATTAGGTGATGAAAGATTGAATATCAGATTGGAGGGAGAGAGTATGGAGGAGGTGAACGTATTCAGATATTTGGGAGTGGACGTGTCAGCGGATGGGTCTATGAAAGATGAGGTGAATCATAGAATTGATGAGGGAAAAAGAGTGAGTGTGCACTTAGGAGTCTGTGGAGACAAAGAACTTTGTCCTTGGAGGCAAAGAGGGGAATGTATGAGAGTATAGTTTTACCAACGCTCTTATATGGGTGTGAAGCGTGGGTGATGAATGTTGCAGCGAGGAGAAGGCTGGAGGCAGTGGAGATGTCATGTCTGAGGGCAATGTGTGGTGTGAATATAATGCAGAGAATTCGTAGTTTGGAAGTTAGGAGGAGGTGCGGGATTACCAAAACTGTTGTCCAGAGGGCTGAGGAAGGGTTGTTGAGGTGGTTCGGACATGTAGAGAGAATGGAGCGAAACAGAATGACTTCAAGAGTGTATCAGTCTGTAGTGGAAGGAAGGCGGGGTAGGGGTCGGCCTAGGAAGGGTTGGAGGGAGGGGGTAAAGGAGGTTTTGTGTGCGAGGGGCTTGGACTTCCAGCAGGCATGCGTGAGCGTGTTTGATAGGAGTGAATGGAGACAAATGGTTTTTTAATACTTGACGTGCTGTTGGAGTGTGAGCAAAGTAACATTTATGAAGGGATTCAGGGAAACCGGCAGGCCGGACTTGGGTCCTGGAGATGGGAAGTACAGTGCCTGCACTCTGAAGGAGGGGTGTTAATGTTGCAGTTTAAAAACTGTAGTGTAAAGCACCCTTCTGGCAAGACAGTGATGGAGTGAATGATGGTGAAAGTTTTTCTTTTTCGGGCCACCCTGCCTTGGTGGGAATCGGCCGGTGTGATAATAAAAAAAAAAATAATAATAGCATATACAGGAGAAGTGGTTACTAGCCTCTTGCTCCTGGCATTTTAGTCGCCTCTTACGACACGCATGGCTTACGGAGGAAGAATTCTGTTCCACTTCCCCATGGAGATAAGGGAAAATAAACAAGAAGAACTAGTAAGAGAGAAGAAAACACAGAGGGGTGTATGTATATATATGCTTGTACGTACATGCATGTGTAGTGTGACCTAAGTGGAAGTAGAAGTAGCAAGATGTACTTGAAATCTTGCATGTTTATGAGACAGAAAAGAGACACTGGCAATCCTACTATCATATATAACAATCACAGGCTTCCATTTCACACTAACTTGACAGGATGGTAGTACCTCCCTGGGCGGCTGCTGTCTACCAACCTACTACCTAGGTCCTTCTTTCTTATGTTCTTAAATATATGTACCCATCCTCTAACATTACATCTGTTGTCCAGCCATGGAACCAGAGGGTTATTTATTAGCTGTATAAATAATGGAGACAGCCAAGGTCAGGACAAGCAAGGTAAGTTTCAAAGACTTGAGCACTTTACAACTGTCCAATTTTCATTTCCATTGGGATTACAGTAGCTGTAAATTCTTACAATCACAATATATTTATAATTTATCAAGTATGGATTATAATGAATGTGATTTTGTAAGATTATGAGTGTACATAGAAAAAAAGATAAAAATTTTTTACTTATTCTGAAACTGTTCTAAGCACTGACTTGTCATTCATTATATCCATTTTAACGAGACCCAAATGATACTATAATGTCAAACATCAAAGTATTGATGAAGTCAGTACAGTCTCACCTGTGGCAAAGATTTAATGATGGAAGGTAACTTAGCCATGTGACACGCCAAGGCTGTAACAGTGAGTGAGTTTGCTACCAGCTTCACCTTGGCAGTACTGGCTCCACCATCCAGACTCACAATCTCACAACGTTCTACTTGCTGCTGATGGATCAACACCTCCCTGCAAATCAACTCCATGCTTAGTCATTCAAATGCTATTATAAAGGCATAAACAAAGAATAATTACAGGTATACTGATGGACACCACTAAACCAATAAGGGATTCACAGCACCTGGAGTATGGGAGGTAATTTTTTTAACACACTGGCTGTCTCCCACCGAGGCAGGCTGACCCAAAAAAAAGAAACACTTTCACCATCATTCACACTATCACTGTCTTGCCAGAGGTGCCCAGATACTACAAATGACCCTCTGAACAGCAAATATCCCAGACCCCTCCTTTAGAGTGCAGAAAAGCACAGTGACTTACAAGAGTAAAATTATTAACCCTTCGCCGTCCGTGCCATAGTCCTACGGGTTTGAGGTCACTGTCTGTGCTGTAATACTACATCATGAGCTCAGCTCACTCAGATAAGCTGTGAGTGGTAAATTTGGACCTAAATATGAGAGAATAGGTCTATGCAGTAAGTGTGCACCATATAAAAAATTCTTCAGTATGCAGTGTATGAGAAAAAAAATTGCAACCATCTTTTTGGCTTAAAACAGTGACTATGTGGTGTATTTTCGTATGGTTTTTTAATGGTTGTATTCTTAGTTTCTTGGTCTCATTTGATAGAATGGAAAATATATTACAGATGCAGAGATGATTTTCATTAGTTTCAGGACTGAAAACAGCTTGAAATAAAGCTCAAAGTAGCAGATATGTTCGATTTTTGCCAATATTCAAGAATAAACAAATCACGGCACTCGTCTAATACACATCCAACCGGTGGGTCTAATATGCATTCATGACTATGCTGATATTATTTATACAATTAGTACAATATCACATAACAGTAAATCTTCTATATTTTTAATAAAAATTCTGTGAATAAAAATTCAAAATGGAATTCATGTGTAAAGCTTGGGAACATAACAAATGAACAGAGGAAATATTATTTTAGTGCCAGGAATGCCTGCATTGTTTATTCTGGACCCTATTTTGAAATTTGTGTGAAACTGGACAAATTATCAATTTCTGATCACTTTATTGGGTAACTGAAATAACTGATTGGGCAGTTTCTTGCACTCAATCGATAAAATGGAAAGGATACTAATGAAATAGCTAAGAATGACCTGACCAATGTAATTAACCTAAAATACAAGTCAAAGTGGGTAAAATCGCTGATGTGTAAATATCGCTGTATATCAAAATTTACAAAAGCGTAATTTCATCAATTTTCCATCAAATTTCGTCTATCATCTCACAAGAATCTAGGGAGGGGGGATTCTTGGACAGTGAGAGCAATTCTCAGATCAGAAGTCTGGACACTGAAAGGGTTAAGAAGCATAAAGGGAAGCAACTTCCATGGGGAAGTGAGATGAATCCTTCCTCCATAAGCCATGCATGTCGTAAGAGGTGACTAAAATGCTGGGAGCAATGGGATAATAACCCCATCTTCTGTATAAATTGCTAAATGTAAAAAAGAAGAAAAATTTTTTGTTTCTTTGGGTCACCTTGTCTTGGTGGGAGATGGCTGTTGTGTTAAAAAAAAAAAGGCAAGTAAATACAGTGGACCCCCGGTTAACGATATTTTTTCACTCCATAAGTATGTTCAGGTGCCAGTACTGACCGAATTTATTCCCATAAGGAATATTGTGAAGTAGATTATTCCTTTCAGACCCCCAAACATACACGTACAAACGCACTTACATAAATACACTTACATAATTGGTCGCATTTGGAGGTAATCGTTATGCGGGGGTCCACTGTATATGTGTATAGTTACTAAATGTAGGCAAAAGTTTGTGAAAGATCAATAATCCTACAGGAGTAGGATTACTGATCTTTAACAATCTTCCATTTCATGCTCAAATAACAGGACAGTAGTGCCCAAGCCTCAGAAGCCCCTGCTAATACAGACCAAGGCTGTTATTAATATTATAATTTTCCACATCACAAAAAATATTGTAGCATTTTGTCTCTGCTACAAAAGAGAAAAACTTGACAGTCTATTCTTACCGAAAAACTTGACTGTCTATTCTTACCGAAAAACTGGGTCTTGAAGCATTTCAAAGCGTACTTTGAGTTGCTCTAAATCTTTGTGAAGCTGAATGAGGCGAGCAACATCTAGTTCATCTACTTCCCCGTCAAGTCCTTCCCATTCACTCTTGGCTTCAATTTTCTTAATTTCTTGTTGCATGAAGTTAGCTTGCTTCACCAGACTTCTAAGTTCTGAGGCAACACTGGCAGGGATGATGCCACTGTCTATGTCCCGATACCTGAAATATTGCTTCTGATTAATAACTCAGTAGATTTATGACACAGTAGCAGAATGGTTGAAAAAACTCACAACTTCACCTTACTGACATCAGTTCATAAAGAATAAACTTAAAATACAATACTGATCCTGCAACCTACATTATTATATTCATGGGAAACATGAAACCCATAAGAGTTATACAGCATAGAGAATGAGAGGTAATCACCTAGGCAGCCCTCACTAAAGGTCATGTTGTAATGAGCATGTTTAATACAGGCTTCCAACCACTGACCCCACATGTGTGAGGCAGACACAGGCTTCCAAGTACAGTGGTACCTCAGGATACGAACAGCTCAAAACGCAACCAATTATGTAAGTGTATTTATGTAAGTGCTTTTGTAAGTGTATTTTTGGGGATCTGAAACAGATTAATCTAATTGACATTATTCCTTATGGGAACAAATTCGTTTGGTATCAGCACTTGAACAGCCTCCTGGAGCGAAATGAGTTTGTATCCCGAGGTACCACTGTACTGACCCCACATGTGTGAAGTAGATACAGGCCTCCAACCACTAACCCCACATGTGTGTTAGGCAGACACATTACTGTTACAAGCAGAGTACAAACTTTAAATATTATCATGATAGATATAATGTCTCTTGAAACATAATTTATGGTAACCTGCACACAGCTTTATAAGAACTTACAACCCACAATCTGAGGAGGAAACTTCAGAAGAAATTTCAGTCAGAACATATGATTACAGGCAAGAACATACAAAAAGTTTGTCTCAAGTTTTCTCTCCTAAGTGTTGGTTAGGTGTGAACTGTTCCAGCCATGGTATTCTGCCTTGTATTCTTCAGCTCTTTACAATAAGAGTTGAAGAATTAGGCAAGTGTGCAACATCTGGGTATCTTTATTTGTAGATTTTTCGTGGCTTTATCAATATGATACAGGACATAATGTGAAGAATGTAGATGAGGTAATCAGACCCTCAGCCTTGAAGTTGGTGAAGAGTACCGCAGTCTTGAAGAATATCTATGGCTGAGGGACTAATTACCTCATCTTTTGTATACAGTTCTACATTCTTCCCATTATGTTTTTTTTTTTTTTACACAGGGTTTGACAAGGTTAAGGATCCCTAGCTTTATTGACAAGCTATTTACAGGTTAAGGATCCCTAGCTTTATTGACAAGCTATTTACAGGTTAAGGATCCCTAGCTTTATTGACAAGCTATTTACAGGTTAAGGATTCCTAACTTTATTGGCAAGCTAAGAGCTGTTACCTACATCAGCTCATTTGAAAGCATTTTTATTATGAGACATACAAATAGGGAACAGGATGAAGTTGGAGCCATCTGTGGGCCAGCATTTTCATTTGATCAACTGACTTTATCTCGTTGACATCATTATGCTGTACGAATGTGTTCCATACTCAAGTCATCCTGGTTATATATGATCTCAGATGGAGTGATGTTCTGGAGAAGGGTACAGCCAGAGTGAAGTTGCTGCTTTCTGCCCGTCTTGTGGCATAAAAGCTTGTTTCACGCTGTCCTCGAAGTGGATCAAGTGTGGTACTTTGACAATATTGGCCTTGTACATAACAGTAAGGCCATCCACATCCCTCCTGTGTTGAAGGCTCATTCTGAAATGACAGATCTATCCAGGATGGGTCCATGCGAGAGATGAGACGTCTTGCTCTGTTCTCTACTCTGTCAAGCAGTCGCAGATGAGAGGGGGGGCAGGCAAACCAAGAAAGTGGACCATACTCAAGGTGTGAATGTACTTGTGCCTCGTACAGAATCTTGCAACCCCTACTGTCAAGCAGATGCGAGATACGGTGAAGTGCTGTAAGCTTCCTGCTGCCTTGTTTGCAAGATTTACAACATGGTTCTTCATGGTTAGTTTGGAGTCAAACTTCACCCCAAGGATATCAACTTCTTCTCCAGGTGCCAACACCCTCCCATTCATCCTTACTACTGCACCAGCATTACCATTATGGTGCCTAGAGACCATCATCATTTGCATTTTCTCAGTTGCAAATGTTACTTGCCATCTATTTCCCCAAGCTGATATAGCACTTAGCTGGTGATTGATGTAGCTTAGAGCAGCTGGCATTTCTTCTCTTGGATAAGTGAATGTCAGTGTACAGTCATCTGCATATACATGGGATTCTGGGATGAGATGAAGAAGGTCGTTGAAGTAGACATTCCATAACAATGGTCCCAGCATGCTTCCTTGTGGAACACTTGCCCCAATAGGATGGGCTTGCTGATTTTTATTCCACTGAGAACTACCCTTAGAGATCTACCATGAAGGTAATCACTGAGGAGACATAGCGTAAAGCCTGCAATTTCCAGTGCTTGAAGTTTTGCTAAGAGGCCCTGGTGCCACACCCGGTCGAAAGCACCAGCAATGTCCAGTGCTACCATACAGCTGACTTCGGATTCATCCAGTGACTGGTGCCACTTAGTGGAGAGGTTTAACAACAGATCAGCAGCAGAGTAACCTTTCCTGAAGCCATATTGACGATCACAAAGTTGTGAGTGGTAGTCAAAAAACTCTGTCATTTGTCTTGAGATTGTCTCAAGAATCTTACCAGTGATTGACAGGAGTAACACTGGTCTGTAGTTGCCAATTTCTACTCTGCTCTTCTTTTTGTGAACAGGGACTACATTTGCCTTCTTTCCATAGAGAGGGCCATTTACACTGTACTAGGCAGTTAGAGGTGCTGCTAGCTGGTCTGCACATCTTCTCAGCAATCAGGAACTTGCATTTTGGTAGCAAAGTGTTCGGCAAAGAGGTTCGCCTTCTCTTGACTATTAGTATAGGTGGTCCCAGTCTGCCGATTTAGAGGTGGAATGAGTTCATCAGGCAGATAACCTTGTCTGTCCTTGACCAGGGACCACCAGGTTTTGGAGCCTACCCTACCTGATGCTAGCTTTCTTTTTGTGTCCACTTCCCATTTAGCAATGGCTCACTTTTGAACATCACCCATATGCCTACAGGCTTGCCTCTGCAAGTTCCTGTTATAGGTGGTAGGATGTCTCTTATACCTTCGCCATGCTTTGTACTTAGCAGTAGCAGCCTCTCTACAACGAAAGCCAAACCAAGGTTGATCTGTAGGCTTCGTCACATTTTGCCGGTGAAGAATGTGTTCTTGTTGTAGATTAAGGATGTGTCCAGTGAAGGCTTTCACTTGGTTGTCAACATCCCCTTGGAGAAGAGCATTCCAATCGGTGGTGGCGAGCTCAGAGCACAGGGCTGGCCAATTACCTCTTTCCCATAGCCAGGTTGTGCGTGTGGACTCCTCACCTCGTTCTGTTGGGATCTTAAGTGTCGTAAAAACAGCCTTGTGGTCAGATGATCCAATGTAGCCGAGAGGTTGACAAGTGACTATACCTTCTGCCAGATCACTCACTACTGGGTCAAGGGAGGAGCCAGAGATGTGAGTAGGGAAATCAACAAAGTTTTTCATGTCAAATACTGCAAGAAGGTCATCAAGGTCCCTCTGTATAAGGTGTTGGTTGAGGTCACCAACAATTATATGTTGACAGTTGTGTTGTAGCAGAAGGGAGTCCATATTTTCCATTAGGAAGTTGATAGGGTCTGCATGTTGCCACAGGTCTGTACATTGCACATGCTAGTACAGAGGTACTAGTGTTTATGCAGAGCTTGAAGAACATCATTTCAAGATGAGTAGGGGTGGCAACATCAATGTGCTGGGCATGAACACTTTTAGAGAAGCACACAGCAACACCTCCTGCTTGCCCTTGCCTGTCTCTTCTCATCCATGAGGTGTAGCCAGCAATTCTTGCAAAATTTTCTGGAGTCCTGTCGTCCAAAAATGTTTCAACAACAACTATCATGTCGGGATGTCGAGTGTTCACAAAACTATGTGTGAGCTCTCCAACATTAGTAATGAAACCTCTAATGTTGGCCGACAGGATGCTGATAGACTGGCTCCTCATGATGTGGTCATCTTGAGGTGGTGGGTGTGTGAGGCATGTAAGGTGCCTGCCCTTGAGAGAGGTAGGGTACTGAGGCAGCAGCAGGGATGTAGGTCTGTTCTTGTATTATAAGGAAGATACTGGATGGTGAAACGTTTACAAATAAAGCTACGCAAATGTTGCACATGTGTCTAATTCTTCATCATGCTGGCATTATATACCATTCATGTACAACAAGTTTGACATCTATGTTTTTTACAGAATATACAATCAGAAGGTGCCTAACACTTATTACATTAAACTATTGTTTAATGTAATAAGTGTTAGTTAATGTAATAAGTTGTTAATACATCTGTGACTGGATGACTTGAGTGATTTAACTCAACCAATCTGATATCACATGAGAAATTTCCTTGATTTAACCTTTAACTATCCATGACATACTAGTATACATGGGACCAAACTGCAGACGATGTACTAATACACACAACACTGGTGCCTCCAAATATGTCACCTGCAGTCATTTTAGGTCTTTGACTCAATTGTTTGGGTCACCGACCACCTCCTCATTCCTGGAGAAAAAAAAGACCAGATGGGTCCAAGAAGTGCATTGGGTAATATTGCCTCAAAAGTACCTGAAAGCAACAAGGATCTCGCTTCAATGACACTAGTCGGGAGTTTGTTCCACTCGTCCACAACTCTATTACTAAACCACTGCTTTCCTTTATACTTTCTGAATATAAATCTTTTCCAACTTGAACTCACTGCTGCAAATCCTGTCTTGATTAGATATTTTCAGCATGTTATTTACATCCCCTTTTATTCCTGGGTGCAGGAGGGAAGAGGAGCAATTAGTGGAATGAAAAGGTAAAGAGAAAGTGGTAAGAAAAAGTCAGCAGTGACTACTGCCAGTGGGTGGAACATAATAAACAATGGCTCAGTTTGAAGTCAACAAAAACATGGAACAGTGAAAAGATGCTGTGTATGTGGGGCCTTCCTTTAACTTGCTTATATCTTACCCTAACTGCCTCCTCCTTTAGTTTATAAACCTTTACCTCTCTCTTACTTTCTTTTACCATTCTCCTTGTACCTCATCTACCTTTTACTCACACTGTAGCTACAATTTAAAAATGATCTGATATGTCTGTTGCCCCTCTATAAACATGCACATCCAGAAGTCTACCCATCAACCTTGTATCCACTAACACATATGCCAAAAAACTATTGTCATTACGTCTTATATCATATCTTGTACACTTATTTATCCTTTTTTCTTAAAATATCTATTACCAAACTTCCTTCTATACAAAGTTCAATTAAAGGCACCCCATTATCATTTACACCTGGCACCCCAAACTTACCTACTACTCTCTATAACAGTTTCTCCCACTTTATTCAGGTTTCTTATCACAATTACTCTCTCACTTAGTTTAAAACTCCCTAAACACTTACTTAACATCTCCCAAAATCTCTCTCTCTCTTCTACACTCTTCTCCAGATGCATAAACACTTATTGTGCATCCTACCCTTATTCTGATCCACATAATCCTTGGATTTATACATTTATATTCCCTTTTCTCCTAGCCTTCAACATTACTGCTACCCCTTTCTTAGTTCTAACTCTCTCAGATACTCCTAAGTGTGCACATTTATGATGCCTACTGCACAATAAATCTTCGGATATGAATGAACATAATTGGTGAATATTATTAGAATTTAGAATATAGAAGACAATGTGGTGCTATGAAAATTGTATAATTTAGTGAGCAAACAAAGGCTAAGGGAGAGGGAGAGTAGAGCCGATCATCACCTTCGTTAAAAAGGTTTGGCCATTTACAAAGATTTGTTCAGAACATTTACAAAGGATAGAGCAAAAAACAGATCGACCAAGAGGGTGTATAAATCCAGGGTTGACATAAGGAGGGGTAGCAGCCATCCCAGGAACAGTTGGGAGGGAGAGAGGTGAGGTTTCTGAGTGGTGGTGCCTTGAGAATTCAGTAGGCAAGTGTTAGATCATTGTGAGTGGAGATGAAGTTTTTTTTTTTTTAAATTCAAAATACTGTTGGGGCGTGAGCATCTATAAAGGGATTTAGGGACTCCAGTCCTGAAGGCAGGAAGAACAGTGCCTGCACTATGAGGGATTGGTGGGAATGTTGTAGTTTGAAGGACCTGTGTATTGAAATGTTCACAAACTTTTTGAAAATAGCTTTGAATGAAAAATGGTGAATGACCTTCCTTTTATTGGTCACTCTACCTTAATGGGAAACAGTTCTGCTAAAAGAAAAAGGTAAAAAAGTCATAGATGATAACTGTTAACTTACAATTTTAGGCGGGAATTAATGAGATAGTAATCGTAGCAGCATTTTTCCTCTTCTAAATCCCAGGCCCGCCAAACATTCTTGTAAAAAAACCTGAAAAAATAATGATGATATAAATTACTTGTAAAAATATAAAAGGAACTTAAACCATTTCATGCAAATTTACTAATGTATGATGTCCCAGTTTAGAGTTTTGCAGTTTGGAGGGATATGTTGTGAATCTTTATACATATATGCTTCTAAGCTGTTGTGTTCTGAGCACCTCGGCAAAAACAGTGATTATGTGTGAGTGAGGTGAAAGAGTTGAATGATGATGAAAGCATTTTCTTTTTTGGGATTTTCTTTCTTTTTGGGTCACTCTGCCTTGGTGGGAGATGGCCGACTTGTTAAAAAAAAAAAAAAGATGTCCCAAATATTTTATTATCCCTTGTCTACCATTAGTACCAACCGTACCAACCTAAAAATATATGTTTGTATCATAAATTGTACTACCTCACATTAATAATAGAGCAAAATATTGAATATTTGAAATTTACCGCTCTTTACCTGTCTAGAGTTAAGTAGTCTACAAGTATTAGGTTAAGTCTGCCCGAAATGCCCCGGCATGATAGTGGCTTTCTTTGTACCAATGAAATTATGAAATGTAAACACACACTGTAACCTTTGGAAAGAAATAATTAAGTGCTTGTTTAGTAAAAACAATGTACAGTGGACCCCCGCATAACGATGGCATCACATAGCGATTTTTCCGCATACCGATTACTTTTATCGCAAAATTTTTGCCGCGCATACCGATTAAAAACCCGCTTACCGATTTTCGTCCGAGACGCGTCCAATGTGCCCTCACATGTGCCGGCCGTCCCATTGTTTACCAGCCAGCCTCCGCGGTAACATCCAAGCATACACTCGGAATATTTCGTATTATTACAGTGTTTTCGGTGCTGTTTCTGGAAAATAAGTGACCATGGGCCCCAAGAAAGCTTCTAGTGCCAACCCTGTGGTAAAAAGGGTGAGAATTAGTATGGAAATTAAGAAAGATTTTGAAGGGTTTGGGGCTAACCCTGAGAAGCCTATGCCAGTTGTGGAATCCATTGTGCCTACTTCAAAGATTAAGGAAATGTGTGCACAGTGGGTTGAACTGCAAACCTTTATAGATGAAAATCACCCTGACACAGCTGTTGCAAGCCGTGCTGGTGACTATTTCAATGACAATGTTATGGCCCATTTTAGGAAAGTCTTGAAGGAACGGGAGGTACAGAGCTCTATGGACAGATTTGTTGTGCGACAGAGGTCCAGTGACTCTCAAGCTGGTCCTAGTGGCATTAAAAGAAGAAGGGAAGTAACCCCAGAAAAGGACTTGCTACCTCAAGTCCTAATGGAAGGGGATTCCCCTTCTAAACAGTAAGAAGATAATGCTCTCCCCTCCTCCCATCCATCAATCATCACCAGATCTTCAATAAAAGTAAGTGTCATGTAATTGTGCATGCCTTTTTCAGTTTGTGTGTATTAAAATTAACATTTCATGTGGTAAAAAAAAATTTTTTTCATACTTTTGGGCGTCTTGCACGGATTAATTTTATTTCCATTATTTCTTATGGGGAAAATTCATTCGCATAACGATTATTTCGCATAACGATTATCCCTCTTGCACGGATTAAAATCGTTAACCGGGGGTCCACTGTATTATTTGATGCTTAGGATGGCAATAATTAATGTAAGATCTGATGCTTTAGATGGCAATAATTAATGCATGGTTTGATGCTTAGGATGGAATTAATTAAGTGCTTGATTAGTAAAAATAATGTATGATTTGATGCTTAATGTATGATTTGATGCTTAGGATTGTATGCAGAGATCTGTAGACAACATCTGTCATGTCCCATAGCCCAGTTGGTAGCACACTCAGCTCACACACTGAGTGTCCATGGTTCGATCCCCAGTTAGGATGCAAACACTGGGCATGTTTCCTCACACCTGCTGTCCCTGTTCACCTAGCAGTAAGCAGGTACCTGGGTATTAGCTGACTGGAGGGGGGGTCATATCCTATGGGACAAGAGTAGTTGCCCGAGATGTTCTGCATAACCAGGGGCTTTCTATATAGTATGTCACTGATGTCAGCTAGATCTATATAAGTTGTATCATGTATTTTTAGAAATAAAGTTTACTATTATTATTATTGGGACAAACAAGCTTTTAGCTGTAAATTAAGCAAATATTTATTCCCTGGATATAAATTCTCTGGAAAATGTACAAAGGAGGATGACAAAGTTGATCCCATGTATCAGAAACCTTCCCTATGAGGATAGACTAAGGGCCCTGAATCTGCACTCTCTAGAAAGACGTAGAATTAGGGGGGATATGATTGAGGTGTATAAATGGAAGACAGGAATAAATAAAGGGGATGTAAATAGTGTGCTGAAAATATCTAGCCTAGACAGGACTCGCAGCAATGGTTTTAAGTTGGAAAAATTCAGATTCAGGAAGGATATAGGAAAGTACTGGTTTGGTAATAGAGTTGTGGATGAGTGGAACAAACTCCCGAGTACAGTTATAGAGGCCAGAACGTTGTGTAGCTTTAAAAATAGGTTGGATAAATACATGAGTGGATGTGGGTGGGTGTGAGTTAGACCTGATAGCTTGTGCTACCAGGTCGGTTGCCGTGTTCCTCCCTTAAGTCAATGTGACCTGACCTGACTAGGTTGGGTGCATTGGCTTAAGCCGGTAGGAGACTTGGACCTGCCTCGCATGGGCCAGTAGGCCTTCTGCAGTGTTCCTTCGTTCTTATGTTCTTATCTCTGGTAAACGTTGATGTCATGCATTGCATCTCAGTGGTATAATGAAGTGTAGTGCCACCTCTCTTTTGCTCTGATCTGCAGTTATGAATGGTTGCATACCCTAGTAAGTTGTCAAGATGTAGCCAATTTATTGCTATTTATTCCAACTTATTGCTAGCAACTTGGGAATCCTTACCTGATTTGATCTACAACCTCTGTAGTAGTAGCAATATCTAAGACATCATTTTCTTGTTCCACTAGAGGGTACAACTCCATTAAAGGCACCATAATCTAAAGAATTAAATAATAAATGTTACAATCACAATATACAAGTGCAGTACAGTATTTAACATTTCCATATTATCAATGCTTAATTTTTTTGTGACTTGCTTTCTGCAACATGTGTAATATATACTGCAAACTGAACCAGTAGTCACAACACTATACAGACAACCAGGGTGGTCACTAGAACTACATGGGTAATTCTAGCATTATACAGACAACCAGCATGCTCACTAGAACCAGGTGGGTAGTTCCATCATTATACAAGTAATGTGCTCACTAGAACCAGGTGGGTAGTTCCAACATTATACAAGTAATGTGCTCACTAGAACCAGGTGGGTAGTTCCAACATTATACAAGTAATGTGCTCACTAGAACCAGGTGGGTAGTTCCAACATTATACAAGTAATGTGCTCACTAGAACCAGGTGGGTAGTTCCAACATTATACAAGTAATGTGCTCACTAGAACCAGGTGGGTAGTTCCAACATTATACAAGTAATGTGCTCACTAGAACCAGGTGGGTAGTTCCAACATTATACAAGTAATGTGCTCACTAGAACCAGGTGGGTAGTTCCAACATTATACAAGTAATGTGCTCACTAGAACCAGTGGGTAGTTCCAACATTATACAAGTAATGTGCTCACTAGAACCAGGTGGGTAGTTCCAACATTATACAGACACCCAGTGTGCTCACTAGAACTATGTGGGAAGCCTAACTCACTTTCATACAAGAGTTCCAGACACTACACAAGCATCATGGGTACTACATCAGACTAAATGTTCTTCACTCCTGTCCATGAAATAAATATATCATCATGCAGTGTTATGTTTTGTTTTCTCTAAATTCTGAGAAGAAATAGAGAAAGCTTTACTCATTATTACAATGTCTCCAGATGTCTCTATATTTCACTACTATAGTAGTGAATATCTTAGGTAGTAGGTTGGTAGACAGCAACTGCCCAGGGAGGTACTACCGTCCTGCCACGCGAGCGTAAAACGGAAGCCTATAATTGTTTTACATGATGGTAGGATTGCTGGTGTCTTTTTTCTGTCTCATACACATGCAAGATTTCAGGTACGTATTGCTACTTCTACTTACACTTAGGTCACACTACACGTACATGTACAAGCATATATATACACACCCCTCAGGGTTTTCTTCTATTTTCTTACTAGTTCTTGTTCTTGTTTATTTCCTCTTACCTCCATGGGGAAGTGGAACTGAATTCTTCCTCCATAAGCCATGCGTGTTGCAAGTGGCGACTAAAATGCCGGGAGCAAGGGGCTAATAACCCCTTCTCCTGTAAATATTACTAAATGTAAAAGGAGAAACTTTTGTTTCTCCTTTTGGGCCACCCCGCCTCGGTGGGATACGGCTGGTGTGTTGAAAGAAGAAGTAGTGAATATGACAGTGAAGTTTTCAGTAACTCCAGACTGGAGTGAATATGACAGCCACAACTTCAGTAACTCCAGACTGGAGGAGTGAATATGACAGCCAAGACTTCAGTAACTTTAGAGTGGAGGCATGAATATGACAGTGAAGTTGTCAGTAACTCATAAGTGCAGTATTGACTATGACAGTGAAGTCTTCAGGGAACCTTGCATTATAATAGCAACAACAGCTCTCAGAAACTCAAGCTATGTTCCATACACAAATAATCCACACACAGGAGATAAACTTCTGCTGATGCTTCTGTCTGCCTTGGACCAATTACTAGTCTCCTATGTGCTGGTTATCTATGTATTGTTCCAGTCACAGTATTGTGCCTTTTTATTCTTCATTCTGTGTTAACAGAACACTGGTAGTTTTCAACTGGGATCTGGACTATTGCCTGCATCAACTGTCTGATTCAAGAATGGGGCATTTGTGCAACATTTGGATATTCTTACCGAGGAAATGTCTTGCCAGGCAGTAGCTTCTTCAATTAAATACAGAGATAAATGGTGAAAGATAAGGAAGAGAATGAGATAATCAGTCTCTCAATCTGGAGTCAATGTGGTTAGTCGGCTCCAGACTGAGGGGACTGATTACCTCATTCTCCTCATCTTCTACCATTTTTGTCTGTACTGGACTGAGGAAGCCACTGGCTGGTGAAGCATTTCTTCAATAAAGATTAAAATGTTGCAAAAACATTTCATTCTTCAAGTTGTCAGTTTTCTAAAGCATTACATCACAAGTGTCTGATTAGCTAGGTTTTGATGACTAAGTACGTCTGATGGTTGTTGCCTGCTTGACCAAGCAGTCAATAAGAAAGCCCACATGGGATGCTAGCAGCAATAGCCTGCTTCACCAGTCAGTATGAAAGCCTAGCCTTAGGCCAGACAATGAGGGTAAAAAACCATTTAAACAAGCCAGTTCAGGAGTTTAGCATGTGATCATCTTGAGATGTTATCAGAGTAGTGCTGTAGTTACACACAAAGTGAAGAGCAAGGCATGTGTGCTGCCTACCAAGTATGGTTGGTATAAAAAAAAAAATTTTCACAGCTGTCATACTGAGTATGGCTGCTTTGAGCAATAAATTGTTCATACTACTGATAAAGTCAGTTACTGGTGAGTCTTCAGCTTTACCAAGGTTAATAGTGAAGTCACCAAGAATGATTCAGCATGGTTTACAGCATCTCAATAATTGATCAGACCTAGTAAAAATCCATAAAACAGGCCGGGGTGTAGGAAAGGCCTCTTCCGTCCTCAGGAATATCAGCAAAAACTGAATATTTCCTTCAGTTTCAACCTACTTCTAGTCTTGGAACCAACAAAAATCATCTCTATTTCAGTAGTATTTTCTATTCTATCAAATAATACCAAGAAAGCCAACAAAACCATAAAAACTATTCTAGGAAACACCTCAAAGTAGATATTTTGTACCATATACAATGGCAGAGTATTACTCTGCCCATCATGCAGTAAGGACTGAAGAAGCCACTGGTGGCAAGACATTTTCTCTAATAAATGTCATGAACCATACATAAAAGTCTTTTTCTACAATTTATTACTGGCACTGAAACAAAATCCATAATTTGTTGTGAAAGTCATAAATTAAAGTTGCAGGCAAATTTGTGAGAAAATCTCCTTTCTATGGACAAAAAAATGTATTGCTAGATTTTTATTAAGTCACTCAGGCCACTCCAAAGTCCGCTGCCACAGTAAGTCGAGTCAGCATCAGGTAATAATGTATCTATCAACTTTTGGGAGAAATAAAAAAAGATAATAGGAAAAAGATAACTTAACAGGAAGCAAGGGAACTTTTTTACCTGAGTGTTCTTGTTCTCTTCTATTAGTTTTAAATCATCTGCTGCAAGATCATTTTCGACTGGTTTCAAAATTTTTACCTCTGCCAGTAGTTTTTCACGACTCACATTAATGACCTGCAAAAAGAAAACAATGAGCAGAGTGCTGTGTACTTTATGTTAAACCAGTGTTATTACTTCACAATACTCATGATATAACTACACTTCTGAGTTCATAATACAGCCTCTCCTCATTTAGCTACATACAGTGGACCCCCGGTTAACGATATTTTTTCACTCCATAAGTATGTTCAGGTGCCAGTACTGACCGAATTTATTCCCATAAGGAATATTGTGAAGTAGATTAGTCCATTTCAGACCCCCAAACATACACATACAAACGCACTTACATAAATACACTTACATAATTGGTCGCATTTGGAGGTAATCGTTATGCGGGGGTCCACTGTACTCATTTACCGACGACTCGGGCTTATGATGGGCTCTCTGACAAGTATGCATACCTAAATAATTTATATTGGAGCCCTTTTCCTCTATTCTGTTTTATTACAATATACAGTACACTACTGTGTAAACATTTAAAAATATACTAAAAATGTTATAAATGGTGCAAAGGTGACATTAAAACATTATCAAAGATGGTTGGCACAAACCCACTACCATTATAGTATGCTCCTCACTTAGCGACGAATTTGTTTACTGACACAATCTTAGGAACAGAATTCCATCATTAAGTGAGGAGAGGCTGTATAGTCCTATTTGTAATAATATATTATCAAACTGAGCACTAATCCTTAGATGTGCTACAGTGGGTATATTCTATAATTCATCCAATATCTCTCATTGCAGTAAGTTTTTATTTTTGGGTAATTTCAGTACCTCACCAAAGATTATTTTCCATGAATGGATTATTAAATGTTTTCTAATAATATTAGTTTATTGATATTATTGATGGAAAACTGTACTGTTAACAACTCAATCATGTGCTAAAGTGAATCTAATTTAGTTTAAACAGTGTATTATACTTTATACTAATAATCCATGTTAATAATCAGAATTAATTAATTTTCATTCCAGTGCAGAGGGTGCAGGAGGCATTAGGTAGAATGAAAGGGGGTAAAGCAGCTGGAACTGATGGGATCATGACAAATGTTAAAAGCAGGGGAGGGGGAGGGAGACATTTTTTTGGGAGTGGTTGGTACTTTTGTTCAATAAATGTATGAAAGGAGGAAAGGTACCTAGGAATTGGCAGAGCATGTATAATTCCTTTATATAATGGGAAGGGGGAAAAAAAATTGTAAAAATTATAGGGGAATATGTTTACTGAGTTCTCCATGGGAAAATGGATCAGAATTCTTTCTCCATAAGCCATGCACAAATAATATAGTTCTTCTTCTTTCAACAAACTGGCCGTATCCCACTGAAGCGCGGTGGCCCAAAAAGAAAAACAAAAGTTTCTCTTTTTAAACATGGTAATGCATACAGGAGAAGGGGTTACCAGACCCTTGCTCCTGGCATTTTAGTCACCTCTTATGACACGCATGGCTTACGGAGGAAGAATTCTGTTCCACTTCCCCATGGAGAAAATAATATAGTTATATGGTTAATTAAATTTATAAATACCCTTCAGCACTCACATCCACATATATATCAGAAGGTTTCTGAAAGTTCAGAACAGATTCAGAGAGATCAGAAGAGGGCCTCCATATTGCTCTCCATCCAGTAGGCTCGATACTGTTTTCCACATACTGAACCAAACGATTTTCAACTTGATCTGCTGTTACACCTGAGCATAAATAAAAAGTTCCACAACTATTATAAAAGTAGAAATATTTACATAACAATAACAAACTGTTGGTAGTAGGCTGGTAGACAGCAACCACACAAAGAGGTACTACCGTCCTTGCAAGTGAGTGTAAAATGGAAACCTGTAATTGTTTTACATGATGGTAGGATTACTGGTGTCTTTTTTCTGTCTCATAAACATGCAAGATTTCAGGTATGTCTTGCTACTTCTACTTACACTTAGGTCACACTACACATACATGTACAAGCATATATATACACACCCCTCTGGGTTTTCTTCTATTTTCTTTCTAGTTCTTGTTCTTGTTTATTTCCTCTTATCTCCATGGGGAAGTGGAACAGAATTCTTCCTCTGTAAGCCATGCGTGTTGTAAGAGGCGACTAAAATGCCGGGAGCAAGGGCCTAGTAACCCCTTCTCCTGTATAAATTACTAAATTTAAAAAGAGAAACTTTCATTTTTCTTTTTGGGCCACCCTGCCTTGGTGGGATACGGCCGGTGTGTTGAAAAAAAAAAAAAAAGACATTAACAAATAGGAAATGTTAATGAGAACAGACACAAATATGAGGCTAGATGTTTGCTGTCTACCAACCTACAACCATACACAATATTTAACAGGCTTCCATTTCATATTTACATGAAAAAACTGTTCTACTTTAACTCCCGTGTTGTAACTGTCTGCCAACCTTATACCTTACCTCTGATATACCTCTGATGAGTTCCGAGAGTTTTTCTACTCCCGGAGCCCGGCCATGGGCCAGGCTTGTCTGATGCTTGCCTGGTCAACCAGGCTGTTGCTGTCGGTGGCCCACAGCCCCACATATCCATCAAAGCCTGGTTGACATGGCACCTAGTGAAGATACTTGTCCAGTTTCCTCTTGAAGACTTCTACACTTGTCCTACTACCAGCATGTAAAAATAATTAACAGGCTACCATTTCACATTTGTATAGCAGAAAGTATTACTGTAGCTCCTAGGATGAATGCTGTCTACCATCCTATCACTATTTCTTACATATAACAGGTTGAAGTTACTAATAGCGAATAATATGTATAATTCATAGCGGCCACAAATTTGCCCCAAATGGTAAATTTAGGACTAAAAATGAGAGAATGGGTCTGTGCCCTGGGTGTGCTCTGTATACATAAATTCCCGCCCCATGCAGAGCATGAGAGGAACAGCTACCCTCTCAGCCTTTTCTAACTATGGCTTCCAGATATAAATCCCTCACTACCATCACAATTAACCACCTTCAGGCATTAACAGTGAGAACAGTGATTGTGATGTGGAGTTCCAGAGATTTGGGTGGCCCGGTGGCCTGGTGGCTAAAGCTCCCGCCTCACACACGGAGGGCCCGGGTTCGATTCCCGGCGGGTGGAAACATTTCGACACGTTTCCTTACACCTGTTGTCCTGTTCACCTAGCAGCAAATAGGTACCTGGGTGTTAGTCGACTGGTGTGGGTCGCATCCTGGGGGACAAGATTAAGGACCCCAATGGAAATAAGTTAGACAGTCCTCGATGACGCACTGACTTTCTTGGGTTATCCTGGGTGGCTAACCCTCCGGGGTTAAAAATCCGAACGAAATCTTATCTTATCTTATCTTATCTTAAGACAAATGTCAGTGAAGGAAAAGGCCATAATACCACTTCAAACCCAGCCAACCCACAACTGCAGCACCCATTCCCCTCACCACAATGAAAAATAAATTCCATCTAATCTGCAGACTTTTATGGAAAAGAAGATACGTACTAGTGTGTGCGCTCACACCATGAAAAGACTCCCACAGTACATAGATATGAGACACCATTGTGCCTTAGCCCTTTTTTTGAGGAGTTCCAGACACTGCAAAAATTCTAACAGCATCTAGAGTGATGGTACATAGTGTATGTATATCAGAAACAGTCGACAACCAAAGAAGAGAAACATTCTGTTTAATGTTTATGTATAAATTGCATTGTGAATTTTTTTGTGACAAAATCTGAGTACTAAAACAAATAACACAATCAGTGTCCATAGTTCAAAAATTGAAACAAACCAAAAAGATATAATACTGAAAATCAATTAAAAAAACAAAAGAGGAAACACTGAACCCAGCAACACTATCCACTATTGTCATTAAATGCTCCATGACCTTCAACTTCACTGTACCATTATTTCCTAAGTGCCAAACAGATTTCGTTGATTTTGGTGTTATTACCGTAGGAATATATTCTCTACAGTAAGATCTTTTGTTTTCAAAAACTGCATCACAGCCAGGCATTTATTTTTGGGGCATAAGTCAGTTTAACCCTTCATCATCCAGACTCCTGATCTGAAACTTGTTCTCAATGTCAAAAAAAAAATATATTATGAAATAGCAGAGAATCTTTTTCCAAAGGTAATGACACCAAAAGTATGAAATGTGATGGAATACTTACAGAATTACGGTGGTGCAAATTTACTGGTAAAGAGGATTATTTATTCCTGGCAATTCAATCTACAAATTATAGAAAAATAGGTGAAAGAAGGGCAATAAAAAAAATTAAATTTCCACAAGCATAGAAATAATTATAATAAAAAATTTTCACAATTAAATTAGAATATTACCCTGAAGAATGCTCTCCAGCTCAGCGACATGATCTTCTAGCTTCCAGGTAGCACGGTATACATCTGGCAGCTGCTCTCTGGTGTCTACACTTCGAGGTGTACTTGTCGTACTCCGACACTCCTTCGTTTGCTCACCAACTCTCTCCATGACTCGGTTATTGTTACTGCAACACCTTTTCCTGGAATAATTCAAATAATACTCAGCAATTATAAATTTTAAACAATAATATTATTTCTCAACCAGGCATACCTGGAGTTTACCTGGAGAGAGTTCCGGGGGTCAACGCCCCCGCGGCCCGGTCTGTGACCAGGCCTATGTATAAAAATAAAGTAACTATATTTTATAATTTTTTTTTCAACGTATCGGCCGTTTCCCACCCAGGCAGAATGACACTAATGGACAAGTCATTCACTTGACACTAATGGGCTCATAATACTACCCTGGGGAGTCTCACATGCTACTGGCAGGGGTTTTGATTCTAAGAATTTATGTGAGGTAACCTGGAGGGGTTTGATCCAAGAAAGTTCAGGGGAGCTCCTGTTCCTCATATCAAAAGCTCTTCTCATTCCCCGTATGAAAAGCATAGGCGCCACTAGCATGATAAGAGACAACACAATAAGTGTCAGGGGCCCAAGACTATTCAACTGCCTCCCAGCATACATAAGAGGGATTACCAATAGACCCCTGGTTGTCTTCAAGACTCCTGGTTGTCTTCAAGGTCCCTGGCTGTCTTCAAAGCCCCTGGCTGTCTTTAAGACCCCTGGCTGTCTTAAAAGCCCATGGTTTTCTTCAAGACCCCTGGTTGTCTTCAAGACCCCTGGTTGTCTTCAAGACCACAGGCTGTCTTCAGGACCCCTGGCTGTCTTCAAGACCCTTGGCTGACTTCAAGACCCTTGGCTGTCTTCAAGACCCCTGGCTGTCTTCAAGACCCCCTGGTTGTCTTGAAGACCCCTGTCTTCAAGATCCCTGGTTGTCTTCAAGACCCCTGATTGTATTCAAGACAACCGACTGTCAAGACCCCTGGCTGTCTTCAAGACCCTTCATTGTCTTCAAGACCCCTGGCTGTCAAGACCCCTGGCTGTCTTCAAGACCCCTGGCAGTCTTCAAGACACCTGGCAGTCTTCAAGACCCCTAGCTGTCTTCAAGACCCCTGTCTTCAAGACCCCTGGCAGTCTTCAAGACCCCTGGCTGCCTTCAAGACCCCTGACTGTCTTCAAGACCCCTGTCTTCAAGACCCCTGGCTGTCTTCAAGATCCCTGGCTGTCTTTAAGACCCCTGGCTGTCTTCAAGACCCCTGGCTGACTTCCAGACCCCTGGCTGTCTTCAAGACCCCTGGCTGTCTTCAAGACCCCTGACTGTCTTCCAGACCCCTGGCTGTCTTCAAGACCCCTGTCTTCAAGACCCCTGGTTGTCTTCAAGACCCCTGGCTGTCTTCAAGACCCCTGACTGTCTCCAAGACCCCTGACTGTCTTCAAGACCCCCGGTTGTGACCAGGGCTGAAGTAACTAATTTACTTTACTTGGGTTTCACACAAAACAATGAAACACAGTAGATAAACAACACAAGAAAAATAAAATTTTGAGGAAATAAGTTTACAATTTATAGGACCGAAACAAAAGTTTCCCTCTCCCACCACCCTTTAAAAAAACAACACTAAGTTCCAGCCCAAATTTTAATCCCCGCCTAAAATTACATAACTCCAGCCTTTTCTTAAAAAATCCCCTAAATTTCTAAACCCCCCAAAAATTTTCTTCAACCCCTTTTCTTCACACCCCTAAATATTTTCTTAAAAACCCCAGCCTAAATTTTTCCAAACCCTACCAGCCCTTTCTTTCAACCCCTTTTCTTCACCCGGCCCCTTTTTTTAAAAACCCCCTTTCTAAACCCCCCTAAAATTTTTTTCCAGCCTAAATTATAAACCACCCCGGCCCTTTTCAAACCTCCCCTAAATTCTTTTTCCTTACCGCCAAATTTTTTTAAACCCCTAAATTTCAAACCCCTACCAGCCAAAATTTTTAAAACCCCACCGCCTAAAATACTTTTCAACCCCTAAATTTCTAAACTCCGCTTAAATATTCTTCCTCCCCAAAATTTCAAACCCCCCCCTTTTCAAACCCCGCCTAAAATTTCTTAAAACCCCCGCCTAAAATATTCTAACCCTCCGCCTAAATTTTTTCAAACCCCTTTTCTAAACCCCCCTAAAAACCCGACCCTTTCCCAGCCAAAAATTTTTTTAAACCCCTAAAATTTCAAAACCCTCCGCCTAAAATTTCTTTCAACCCCAAAAATTTTTTCATACCCCTTTTTTTTAAACCCCTTTTCTAAACCTCCCGCCTAAAATTTCTTTACCTCCGGCCAAAATTCTTTACACTCCCGGCCTAAATTTTAAAACACTACCAGCCAAAAATTTCAAACCTCCGCCTTTTCTTAAAAACCCCGCCAAATATTCTAAACACTCCAGCCTTTTTTTTCAAACCGTTTTTAAAATTCTAAACCTCCAGCCAAATTCTTTCAACCCCTTTTCTTAAACCCGGCCTTAATTAACCCGGTTTTTAAAAACCCCGCCTAAATTTCTAAACCTACCGCCTAAAAATTTCTTCAACCCCTTTTTTTTAAAACCCCTTTTTTTAAAACCCCCTTTTTCAACCTCCCCTAAATTTTTTCAACCCCTTTTCTAAACCCCCCTTTTTTTTACCCCGGCCAAATTTCTTAAAAACCCCTTTTTTTTCAAACCCCTTTTCCAAAACCCAGCCTAAATTTAAAACTTTAAATACCGGTTTTTAAACCCGGGGTAAAATACAAAAACATACCGCCTAAAATTTAAAATTCATGGCCTAAATTTTTCCAACCGCCAAAAATACTAACACCCAGAAAATATTTTTTAACAACCATCTTAAATTTACAAAACACCGCCTTTTACTTTACCACCGGCCAAAATTTCTTTACCTACCGGCCCTAAATATTCTAAACACACACCTTTTACTAAACACTACCCCTTTTTTACACCCCCGGCCAAAATAAACACACTACCCCTAAATAAACCACCCCCCTAAATTTTAACTATACCCCCACCAAATTTTAACTATCCTCCCCCAAAAATTTTTAAAAACATACCACCTAAATTAAAACCCCCCGGAAAAATTTTCTAAACAAAAGTAAATTTTAAAACTAAGCCCAAATATTACTTTTAAACAACCCCGCCAAAATTTTACTTTCACACCCCAAAAAAAACAAACACAAAAACAACCCAAATTTACTAAACTCCCACCCTAAATATTATTTTAAACACTACCAGCCTAAATTTTACTAAACACTCCCACCTAAATATTACTAACAACCAGCCTAAATTTAATAAACACTCCACCTAAATATTATAAACATACCACCCAAAAATATTACTATACACAAACCCCCTAAAATTACTAAACACTACCGGCCTAAATATTACTAAACCTACCACCAAATATTACTATACACTACCAGCCTAAATATTACTTTACACTACCAGCCTAAATATTACTAAACACTACCAGCCTAAATATTACTATACACTACCAGCCTAAATATTACTAAACACTACCAGCCTAAATATTAAATAAACCTCCCGCCTAAATATTAATACACTACAGCCTAAATTTTAAAAAAACACTCCAGCCTAAATATTATCCTACCACCCTAAATATTATATGCACCCCACCAAAATATTACTATACACTACCAGCCTAAATATTACTAAACACTACCAGCCTAAATATTACTAAACACTACCAGCCTAAATATTACTAAACACTACCAGCCTAAATATTACTAAACACTACCAGCCTAAATATTAATAAACACTACCAGCCTAAATATTAATAAACTACCTGTGAAAATTTGTGGACTGCCCCCCAAAGTGATCCCCTACCCTGGCAAGCTCTGTTGACCCGAGTTTGAGGTGGGTACCTCAGCCTCACAAGTGGCTTATAGGACAGATTTTCACAAATGATTGATTTTGCAAGAAACTCCCCTGTAGCATGTATAAAGGACGAATTTACTTGGTGTTGCGCATAACCCTGTCTAAATTTTTCCCTAAGCTTACCCTTTAACCCCTTTGGATTCCCCCCAAAAACCCACGTGAAACCCGGGGGCCTTAATTCCTGAAAAATTCAATCGTTTTAGTGACCGCCTGCCCCCCAGAAATCCCTATACCCAAGAGGGTGTGTATCCCTAGTACAACTAGCAAAAAGGGACATTGTTTCCCAACTGACGAGAGCGCGGTACTTCGGGGCATGCTCTGCCAGCTGCACAAAGGGGCCTACAGATTTAACTCACTCAAAATCTCCCCAACACTGGCCAAAACAGAGAAAAAGTGGAGGTCCTTCTTACTGATGGGCCTGACGGAGGGGGTCATCTACGTACATCGAGGGCCTCTACCGATTTCCCCAGTTCCGAAGTGAAGCCGTGGGGGCCCCGTCTGCTGATCAGGCACATTTTGTCCGTTGGTGCTGTCAAAAAGAAGGCGTATTGTGTTTTGAGCCCCCGCGCCCCCTCATTCAAGCTGGGGCTGCCTTTTCCCCTAGCAAACTTAACCAGTTTTGCTATTTTATCGCCTTTTACTACCTATGTTAAGGTTTTTGGTCACTTTATTATTATTACAGTTGCCTAGTAAACCTAATTAATATGCAAAACAGTAAAAACCTACCCTTCCCTGAAGGGGAAAAACCCATAAAAAAAATGCCACCATCCACGCCAAATCGGGGAGAAAATGTGTTTATGTTTGGGGAGAACGTTTTGTTTGGGGGGGTTTAAGGGGCCCCCCAGCTCAGCCATTCCCCTTCAGCCTGCCGGGGTTGCCTTGGAACTTTAGGGGCCAAATAAATTTTCCCCATCCTCCCCCGCGAAGGTAGGCACTAAGTTAAATCAATTCACCCTTTCCCCGGCCCCCCCCCGGGGGACCCCCGGGCCAAGTGCCGTCCGGGTTACTCTGTCGACAACTCCCCGGGCTAAATTCAACCATCCGTTTCCCCCCCGCGTGGGCCCGGGGGGGTAAACTTTTTGGTTCCCGGGGGTCTTAGACCCTTTTCCTTTAAATTTTAAAAGTCTTTTTGTATGTCTAGCCTTGATGAGCGGCTCCGTACTTTTTCCCACCCGTGGCCCACATGCCTTGGAGCCTTTCCCCCCACTGTTACGAG